CATTTTTAATTGCAGATATACTTATTATATTGACATCTTTAAAACAAACTAATAATTGCACGATTTTTTTCTATTTTATAAGTTCGAACATAACAGTTGGATTAGTAAAAGTCGTTGTAAACTGTATGATGAAACTATAAAAGAAAAGCAAACATGAAGAATTTTAATCATAATAATAATAACTCCCATAGGCTTATCGCCCGTTGAGACCGACCACTAGTTATTATTTAAGATCCACATGCGATCGGGTTCTATCGTCGATTTGTTTTTTGTAGACGGCGGTATCTGCACCGCTTATGTCTAACGTACTGACTAATGATGTATTCATCATGTTACGAATGAGTTATTTGCGACAGCTTAGCCATTAATGACTTGCCCAGGATCATTTAAAAGATAGTAATTACCGAAGTTTAGATAAATTAACTTGTATACACTTATCAAACAGCGTAACCATTCAACCATAGCGGTTCGACATAACGAACATTATCATGTAATTTTTTTGTATGAATTTTGATTCATTATCAATGCAGAGATTTTGAAAAGCAAGCATAGAGAAATGTTGACGACAGCTTACGACGCGAAAGTAATTGCATGTGAAGATTGTAAACAGAATTTATAAACTTTTTCTAGAGACATTTACGTTTTATTCTTTCTTATTGGTTACATTCGTTAATCGCATACAACGTGGATGTATTTACTAACGCAAAATTTATTCTTTTTACTATTAGTGCCATCACAATGTAAGATGTATAAAATATAAACCATTTTATCTGAGCCAAAAAAGAAGTATATGAGATTTTTTTTTTCTTTTCATTCTTTCCTACCATGAATATTTTGTTAGTAGGCAGCAGAATAAAAACTATACTCAGTCAATGTGTGTAGAATAGTCAGATTTCTCTCGTTTCTGTCATGAACGTCATTAGAACTTCAAGATAAGTTGAGCATGCCATTTTATGTTATTATTAGATATTTCAGAATCTGTTTCCATAGTTAACTCATTTCATCAGTGTTTTTGTATTTCTTTATATAATAAAACAAAATAAATAACATGTCAGAACTACGTACATTATAGTTGAAAAAGAAACGTTCGATCATATTGATTAACAATATAAATGACTGGTAAATACTTGACGACAGTTTATAAGTTGAATAAACTATAATATCCATTGACTATAAATGATGTATGTAATGAGCCTTATTCCACATTCGCTTGTTGACCACGATCATGAATAAAAATGGCCACATATTTTTTTATCTGTTGCTAAGAGTGGTCATTTCGCTAGGGGCTTCTGGCGAAGTGACTACTCTTAGCAACAGATGAATTAAAACAACATAGAATTGTTGCTTGAACATTGTAAATTTTTTAGAAGAACAAGAAGAAAAGTGACCTTTCATTAGTAACAGGTAATAAAAATGAAAAAATGAATCCCTTCTGAAAATCGATATGATAAGCGTGTCTATTTTAAATATTTTTATAATTATAGTTTTTCGTTATTACACTTAGATGCTTTATATTGATTGTTTTGAAAATGTGGATAAAAATTGCTATCAAATCTCATATTCTATCTATATAATAATCAATTTCTATTTAGATCAAAACAAAATGTGTCGTATAATAAATTTTATTTAGAAAGAAGACATTTCTTTTTCTACCAACAGCGAATTTCATCAGTTTTCTTATACATGCGGAATATACAAATATTTATACTAGGAGCCATTTTCGCATTTGGTTTAATATGTTACTATTATTCATCGCTATTATTGTCACCTAAATCGAACCTATCTCAGTTAACAGAAGTACCAGCAGTAACGGTAATATCACCGAAATACAAAATAGTACATATGGATGATCGTTTGCCATCATTTAAATTAGCTACACATTATGATGGAAAACCTTATGCAGATGGTGATCGAGCTCAAGCAACAGTTGTCGAAAGTTTACAACTTGTCAAGAAATGTAAACAAGATCCATCACTTGTTGTTGTTGATGTTGGTGGTTTTCTAGGTAATCATACTTATAATCTTATAGCACATGAGCAAGAATTTATTCATAGGTGATTTTGGATTATATGCAGCAGCATGTGGTTGTCAAGTATACATCTTTGAAGTACAACCAGAATATGCCGATCTTATTCGAGCATCAATTGCACTTAATAACTTCTCAACGTCACGAGTTCATGTTCTAGAAAAAGCTGTTAATGATTTACCTTCGAATTCTAAGTTAACATTTTCTCAAAAAGGTGGTGACACAACAGCTTCTGAAGGAAACTTAACTGTATCAACAATTCGTTTGGATGATGTTAAATGGCCATCGAACTCTACAATTCTCCTGCTAAAAGTTGATGTTGAAGGTTTTGAACTAAATGTACTTCGTTCAGCAGAGAAGTTATTTAGTGAGAATCGAATTCATCATTTAATCTTTGAATACACAGCATGGTGGACTAATCGAGGAGCACAAAAAGATCTTATTCCATACGTGGAAAATACACTTAAACCAAAACAACTATTTGCACTTCACCGAACAGCTGGTAATGTTTATGGTCCACTTAATCGAGAAGTACTAGACAAATTTCATGAGACTCATGTGTCACGACATCTTCAAACAGATATCTATGCAAGATTTGTTGAATCAGATGAAAACTCTACTTTAAAAGTAGAATCATATAATTTGAAAAAATCATTTGCATAAGTAATATATTCATAGAATGATTGATAATATGAAGATACAATTTCTATTTGAAGTGTTTCGTTTTTTTTATACATAAATTATTGTATTTGTTTTATTCGTTTTTAATTATGAAATCTAAATAGATTCATTATTTGTATTTAAAAACAAAAATTTATCTCACTCTCAGTATTTTCATCATATAACTTATTATTTTAAATGATATTTTTATTAGCCATTAAAAAATCAATATAATATAAAGATTAGAGTCGTTCTTATCGTTGAATTTTTGTTTATTTGTTGTATTACAAATAATAAATAGTAAATGGACTGTTTTGTATGAAACAAGTATCAGCGTTCGCCTGAAAAATTTGTAATTGATTTAGAAAGGTTATTTTTAAAATTTAATGACTTAATAATTTAATTTGTACAAGTAACAAATAATGACATGAATTTTGCATAGGATAGTATATTTCTTTGTTCTTGCAATCTCTTTAATTGTTTCTCGCTTTTGACGATTGGAATATTTATATTGTTATCAAGGAGAGTGAAGTTGAATCAAAAGACTCTTTATTCATTGCTTAATGATCGTAAATAGAAGATTAATACGTGTCCTTGAGAGTATGGGTGTTAGTATTGTTTTTTGATCGAAAATTTCAATAATTTCTCTTATCTGTTAACACGATACTTACATGAAAGTTTAACTAATAGTAAAATAATAATATATTTTTATTGGTATAGAAAAAATTAGTTTTCTATTAAATTTGATATATATACATATTTATTTAAGTAATACCCGTAAAGAAATAAACGCAAACTACATTATTAATATTTGAGCATGTAAACAAGAGACACCTTCCGTATTGATTACTATTGTATATAAAAAAAACAGCATCGGCTCATTAAATCGAATATTATTTCACAGTGGTGTTTTAACTAAGTTAAGCTACATGAATTTGTTTACTAGTGTGTCAACCAATGTATGTGTATGGAGTTTTTATTTGTATTATTGTCATATGGAATGGAAGAAAGATCATCTCAACTTTGATTTGACAACAATTCACTATTCGCCATTGCAAACAAATTACATTCGACCTTCATAGAATAAAAGAGGGCGTTCAATTTCAGACAGTTGTCGAAGTATACATACATATTTAAAAAAATACTTGTTTTAATATTATATAATTTAAATTCTAGAAATTATATCGATATATAAGTAATAGAATGAACTATAATATAATAACTCATATAATCTTTAATTGAGATTTATGTCTAATGAATAGATAAAAAAAAACAAAGTGCAAGAATATAAACTGTTCATAAAGATTACTAATTATAAGTGATGATAATTATATACTGTAACATACGTTACATATAAAATATTTTTATTTTTTTCATGTGATGTGTATGTAATAAGGTACATTTTATAGAATATATCTCTATAATAAAAATATAGAAAAGAAAAACTTTTTTACTGTATATACATTTTGAAATGAATTTAACATGAACGAACTATGAATACAAAAGAGATCTGAAAATTTTAAAAGTATTACAGTTCAGCGAATGTTTTTATTTATAAATCGGTCTATTAATATCAAATCGTATTATGTAGATATAAATAATACTTCTTATATCTAGATGTTTTACAAGATATTTTCAATAGTCATATACATAATTTTTTCGCAAAAATCAATTTAATATAGTTTGTTTGTTTTGTTTTGTTTTCTCATACATTTTTTGGATCAGCTAGTTTTTGTTTAAGCTACACATCATGTAAATCTTCATGGTTCTTTTCAAGAATGGATAGACATGAGTTAAGTATGGAATCGATAATGATTGGCGTATTAATACGGAAATGATAAGATACATCAATTTTTACTATGTAGGCGTGTTCATATCTATGTATCTTATCTCATGAAATAGATCAAAAAGCAAATTTTATTCTATCGATTTTCTTTCGTATATTATTAATTACGATATTTTAAGTGTTAATCTATATTTTTATCAAAAAATTTAAGAAATGTAATATTCTGCGGCACCAACAATATTAGATTCCTATTTTTTTATCTAACAATCTATAATTAGAAAACATGTTTCTCAATCGATAAAGCCAAGAAATTGTGGGTATATTATATTCGTCTGCTACCATATTTAAATATACATGACTAGATTAAAAGTATTATTAACATCATTGTTTTTGGGAATTGGATTTATATGCTACTATTATTATTTGTATTTTTATTCATCACCGGTTTTATCCTCATTTTATGTGTCATTCTTTTCATTCAATTTATCACCTGATAAATTATCATCACCGCAATACAAAATAGTAGATATGGATCATCGTTTGCCATCATTTAAATTAGCCACACTTAATGGTGGAAAACCTTATGCAGATGGTGATCGAGCTCAAGCAACAGTTGTCGAAAGTTTACAACTTGTTAACAGATGTAAACAAGATCCATCACTTATTGTTGTTGATGTTGGTGGTTTTCTAGGTAATCATACTTATAATCTTATAGCACATGAGCAAGAATTTATTCATAGGTGATTTTGGATTATATGCAGCAGCATGTGGTTGTCAAGTATACATCTTTGAAGTACAACCAGAATATACCGATCTTATTCGAACATCAACCACACTTAATAACTTCTCAACGTCACGAGTTCATATTTTAGAAAAAGCTGTTAATGATTTACCTTCGAATTCTAAGTTAACATTTTCTCAAAAAGGTGGTGACACAACAGCTTCTGAAGGAAACTTAACTGTATCAACAATTCGTTTGGATGATGTTAAATGGCCATCGAACTCTACAATTCTCCTGCTAAAAGTTGATGTTGAAGGTTTTGAACTAAACGTACTCCGTTCAGCAGAGAAGTTATTTAGTGAGAATCGAATTCATCATTTAATCTTTGAATACACAGCATGGTGGACTAATCGAGCAGCACAAAAAGATCTTATTCCATACGTGGAAAATACACTTAAACCAAAACAACTATTTGCACTTCATCGAACAGCTGGTAATGTCTTTGGTCCACTTAATCGAGAAGTACTAGACAAATTTCATGAGACTCATGTGTCACGACATCTTCAAACAGATATCTATGCAAGATTTGTTGAACTGAGTGAAAACTCTACTTTAAAAGTAGAATCATATGATTTGAAAAAATCATTTGCATAAGTAATATATTCATAAAATGATTGGTAATATGAAGATGCAAAAATTATAACGTATAGGTGAAACAGATTTTCAACTTGAGGTGTTTAGTTTTTTTATACATAAATTATTATATTTTTTTATTCAGTTTTAGATATGAAAGTTGTATAAGGGAGTTATCTGTATATGAAAGGGAAAAAATTTTCAGTTAGAAAAATTTGATCATTTTCGAATATCCTAAACTCTATTTATCATAACTAGTATTTATTTTTACATTTTTTTCTTCATAAAGTTATTTTTGTATTATCCATTATTGACTCAAAGAATATCATATATACAGCATGTCAGAGAACGTCTTTCTAAGCATTTATTTCTATTTAATTTATTTTTGTGTAGAATTGATGTTCCAAGTCTTATTTTTTACTTTCTTCTATACAAATATATCTTGAAATATTTAGTTGTTTTTCTATATGTATAAATTTTGTTCAGTAATAGTGCGGTCTTTTATTCATTCTAGTTTTTGTTGTTCTCTTCCTTTTTTTTCTGCTTTTGTCGTCAAGTGTAATGTGTGACTGTATGATTATATCATCGAATTGTTTTTTGTTGATTTAATCAAATAAAAAAATGAACTAGAAATGGTTAGTGGAACTGGTCTAATATAGTTTTCTATGCATATTGAATTGTGTAGCAATCTAAGCTGGACAGTATATAATGATTTATGATGGATTATAAATAAATAAAACTTACAGATGATTGGAGAACGTATTATTTTTATAATTCTTTAACTGAGAAAAGAAAAATGCTTTCATCTCGTTCTTTTCGTGCAGAAAGTAAATGTAAACTGTGTTCTTGTTTGTATGTTTATTCAGTTCATATGAAGGATTGAAAAAAATTTCTTTTTGTCTATCAACTGAAAATGATTGCATGTTTAAGAAGGACATACAATATTTTATTTTACGAAAAAAAGTAAGTTTTTTTATTGTGATTAATATCATTCTAACAAAAACTAAGTGTAATAATAAAATTATATAACTTGTTTAAACCTTTACAAGTAACTTAAGATAAATGAATGATCTTAGTACAAATTAAATAAATTATCAAATAGATCGACATTTTCATTATAATATAAACGAATTTTACTGATTATAAAGTAATTCATTAATACGATTCACGTGATTCATAACCATCTGAGTGATATGTAAAAAATAACGTTTTCATTTATTTCAATACTATCGTTAATTAAATATGACTAACTAAACTGTAACTTGTAGGGTTTTATGTAATAGTTTGTATTTAAAAAAATTCATGTAATAATTATCATACATCTTATAAAGAAATCTTTAAAAATAGATAGAAAGAGAAGTTTTTTTCTATTAAAAGTTAATAATAATTAATGAAATATTGCCCACAGAGATATGTTCATTGATACCTATGACTTTAAGTTTCATACAATCTGAATTATTTTATAAGTAAAATCTATTATACTATCAGTTTTTCTCGTGTAGATAGAAAAATACAAAGAAGACATGTACTGAGGCGTTTTTTTTGACAATTTTGAGGAGCAATTATTTTGCAACTTGTTCAGTTATATATAGTCAAAAATATTGAAAATTTTTGCATTACTATCTGATTAGAAAACGACTATTGTCTCTCGCCTATACATTATTCCAATGCGTTAATTTTAGTTTTCTAACTGTTTGAGTTCTCTTCATATTCTTCTACTGTGATATTTATAGATACATGTCTAGATCAAAGATATTATTCATAGTTTTAATTGTGGCAAGTGTATCTATATGCTATTATTATTATCATTATGGCTTATCCTCAATTACTCTTTCATTAGCTTCGTCGACATCCACTCCTTCTATGAAAACGTCAGCACAATACATTGCAATAGATATGAATGATCGTTTGCCATCATTTAAATTAGCAACAATTGACGCAGACAAGCCATATGCAGATGGTGATCGATCTCAAGCAACAGTCGTCGATAGTTTGCAACTTGTTAACAGATGTAAACTAGATCCATCACTAATTGTTGTTGATGTTGGTGCTCTCTTTGGTAATCCTATATTTAGTTGATTTCAATATTTATAAGGAATTTCTTGCCATTGTAGTGCACTTTTGACACGTATGACATATACCAGGGAAATTTGAATAGTACATGATAATGATATCATTTTGTTTGAATTTATCACATATACACAAGAAATATAGTTTAGTTATTAACATATTTTATTTATTCATAGGTGAATTTGGATTATATGCAGCAGCATGTGGTTGTCGAGTATTCATCTTTGAAGTACAACCAGAATATGCCGATCTTATTCGAACATCAATCGCACTTAACAACTTCTCAACTTCACGAGTTCATGTTCTAGAAAAAGCTGTTAGTAATCTACCTTCGAATTCTAAGCTAACATTTTCCCAGAAAGGTGGTCAAACAAAAGCTTCTGAAGGAAACTTAACTGTATCAACAATTCGTTTGGATGATATTAAATGGCCATCGAACTCAACAATTCTCCTGCTAAAAGTTGATGTTGAAGGTTTTGAACTAAATGTACTCCGTTCAGCAGAGAAGTTATTTAGTGAGAATCGAATTCATCATTTAATCTTTGAATACACAGCATGGTGGACTGATCGAGGAGCACAAAAAGATCTTATTCCATATGTCGAAAATACACTTAAATCGAAACAACTATTTGCATTAGATCGAACAGCTAGTACTGTTTATGGTCCACTGAAACGACAAGCAATCAATCACTTTCATAGCTTTCATATGTCAAAACGACTTCAAACAGATATCTATGCAAGATTTGTTGAACCGAGTGATAAAGATACTTTAGAAATTGAGCCATATTATCTAGGAATATCATATGCATAAGTTTCTTGTTTTTTTTTATACTAAAGAATTGATATAGGTGATTAATATGAAAGAATAAAATTTTTTGTTTTAAATATTTTTAGTGATTAAATATAGTCGTGTTGATCGACTATGTTTGCAAATATTTAAATCAATAAACTCACTTCAATTAAGTTGAAATTTTCATACCCACAGGAAGATTTATTGACAGATTTTGAGAGAAACTCATCTCAGATAGAAAGTGAAATCCTTGAACTAAAAATTTTGTTAGTTAATTGAGTACTAATTGAGTGTGGGTGTGGGTGAGTGTGGATGAGGAAGACACTCTTACTCACCTACACCCACACCCGCCCGCCGTCTGTAAAAAGAAAAAGACGAAAGAACCCAACTGCATGTGGAAAACTTAATAATAACCGCGGCCGGCCCCTACGGGCGATAAGCCTATGGGACGTTATTATTATTATTATTATAATTAGAAATAATGCAACATTTAAAAGAGTAATATGGGAAATTTATTTTACGAATAGAGTAGCGTTACATATTTGAAATTTTGAAGATGCTATATCTCCTAAAAGAGAATAAGTGATGCTATCTGCAAAACTTCGAATGAGTAACATTAATCATTACAATAATTTCATATATAAAACTTCCATATTAATGTTTTCAGTTCTGCACTCCGTGTATGCACAGTAAATCGGAACCTGTTTTTAGAACGTTCAATCAGTGAAACGAAAGAGAAAATTATTCATTATTGTATTTTGTCCAATGGTAACGGTATAGTCTCTTCATATGTAGAAGTTTTTGTAGCAAGTTCGAATCGAATGGCATATAACATATAAGTCTTTGAATCAAACAAACCTATTGCATTGCATTGTATATCAGAAGAGCGATAATGATCGGCCGATAAAGACGATTCTAAAAAACCATTTTGTCTTGCATAAAATTCTAATGTACGTACATGTTGCAATTCTAACGTACGTGGTGAGTTATTTACATGAATAACTAAACGATGACGATAATCTAGATAAGCAGCTGCAAAAATGCGTTTATCTACATTACAATCATCGACATAGATAAATGCTAATAACTCTTTAATAGAGTTATGATCACGTTCCACAAACGATTCGCGGGTGATAACTTGAATAGGTTTATTCCATTGCTCCACAATCAAGGAACATTGCTTTCCGGTATTGTCGTGGATAATAATTTTTGTTTTAAATGGCTGAGGTAAACTATTATGTAATTGACTTCGCCCATCGGAATCCATCCCAATTTCACCATTTACAACGATCATTCCTTGTATAGTTAAAGAAATGGTTTTATCAGGTTCAATATTGAGCGTAATATCACGGTACCAGTCTGGTTCTCCGTATCTAGTACTAGGTGCAATCTTAACTTGATCACATTCATGCCATAAAGTATCATGTGCCTGATACATAACAACAAAACGAGTAATAGAAAGACGATTGTTTGTCGACACTGAATGTTTTTGCTGTGAGATATTAGGCACGATTGATGGATCTCTTGAAATAACAATGTTAGTAATGGTAAAATATTGTAAAAATGTTTCATCATCTCTGAATCCGTGTTCTTGTTTTGTTATGATAGTGTTTTTATTTCCACAATGCATACGAACAACTGAGTCACCTTCACATTCATAGGTAACTACTTCCTGACTTTGAATTTTGGTTATAGGTATTTCAGGACCTGTTCGTTTTGGTGGTGGCAATTGTTCAACTAAATCTTTGTAATACGCATATTGTTGTTTCTTTAACTCTTCTTCATTGCTTGCTAAATGTGTCAAATCACCTTTTCGAATACGCATACAATGCCTATCAAGTATAATACTTAATTTGCTTGACCAAAGCTGATCATTTGAACCCACTTTCACGCTGCAGACAATAAATAAAATTGTTGGAGAGACAGAGTCATATTCCCAATTTGCCTCACCAAACCAAGCTGATGATTCAGAAACGTGATCAGTGTCATTTATGCTATCAAGTCGTGCAACAAGAGTATCTATGACATGAGCAAAATGATATACTTTATTGTTTTATATTCTAAATAACTTACTCGTTCGTTTTTCTCTGGCTATAACCAAAAGTTCAGATATACTAAATAGGTAAAGTTCAAAACTATTGATTGCTCGAAGCATCTTAACAAAAAGTTTTCCGTGACAGTTTATACCAACAAGAACTCCTTTTTCTCTATCATCACTAGAATCATACTGTTTAACTATTACCCATGGATCCTTTTCTTTTAGTGTTCTTTCATTGTTCTTGACAAATTTCTTCATATCGATGCAAATAATTCGATCATTGTCTTTGAATACTGCAGAACATGTATCAGAGTTGGGTAGAATATAACCATCGTCTGTCATCAGCTGAATAATATGTATGTTGTCTGTAAAGAGTGTTTCAATAATATATTGTTGTAATACTCGAATAAGATCAGCAACCGTTTTTGCACTAGGAGAATCAATAATATAGACGAATTTGAGCGGCTGAAGATCGTAATAAGAATGTTGAGATTTCTCTTCTCCTAACTGAACTTTGATACGAATTGTCGACATCAACGTGCTTTAATTTGCTTTTTTGCGATTCTGTTCTACTACTTCAATCGATTCTCTATCGACAAAATCGAATACAGTATGAAACTGTTGACAAAAATAAATGCTCTTTAAATAAATAGGTAAGAGTAAAAAAACATTTTCTGTCTACTACCGTTTTTTAGTAAAAGGAAGTGCTATTTTTATTCATAACTGAAAGCAATTATCGAAATGTGAGGGTTTGTGGTTGTGTGAGAAGTGAGAGTGTAACTAAAGAGAGTTCTACGACATCTACAGTCACACCCTGTTGTTGAACGGTGTAGGATGTATATGTATGTGTGGGTGTAGCGTGAATATTTAGTTTACTACACACTCACTCCACACCTACATCCATCCTCAAGATTCTTTAATTTGTCAATTCATAAATGAGCAAAAGTAATTCTTTCAAAATGTAACAGAACGGCGAAGAACACGCTATATGATGCTGTTGGTTTATTCGTGTATTGTAATTACATACAAGATAAAAAGAGACAAAAAGTCACTCACAAAGTAAATATTATATTAAAAGGATATCAACAACAACATAATTTCTCTTTCTCTTCATTATTTCGAATTTATATAATAACATTAACGTTTGTATTTGTTTCAATTTCAACACATAATTTATATAAAATGTATTTTGAATTGTTACCCAATGAAATAATATTGGAAATATTATTTCATTTATCATTCATTCAACTTTATAATGCTTTCTTTGATCTTAAATCACGTCTTAATAAATTACTTTTTCAAGAACTAGACGAAAGTAATCTTGATTTGAGAAGAACTTACAAAACTAGTTTTGAAGAACTCTGTCAAAACTCTATTTCATCAATAAATAATCGAATTGTTTCGCTTTATCTTTCAAATCAAGATGAAACTCCACAACAAATTCAATTTTTTCTCAATCAACCATTTTAACTTCGTGAATTTATTAATTTAAAATCACTTTCATTATCATATATCTTAACTATCTGATACGTCTTATTTTGCCTGATGGTAATGTTGAAACAAATAAATATCGTGTCGAACATTTTTATAATCAAATCTGGTCATTATCAAAACTAAAATATTGTTTTTTTAATATCCGTTCAATGAATGGTAGTTATTTTCCTTATCCAAAAGTTGTTTCTAATTCATTAAAATATTTCATTAATGAAAATGATAGTTCATCATTGACACACTTAACTCATTTATCTAAATATACACCTTATCTTCAACATCTTTCAATCAAGTTTCGAAGTTTATCTGATCGCTTAGAGTGTCCTAAATCAATATATTAAATTCCTCGATTGAAGATTTTATTTATTAGTAGTTTAATGGAAGTGTTCGAAGATATTTTAGCAAGTTTACTTAATGTATATCTTTTATCATTTCAATCAAATAATCTCTATATAGATGGGAATAATTGGGAAGAATCAGTCAGAACATATTTACCTAAATTAAAAATATTTCAAATGAAAACCACCTTTCACGCATATAATAACAAAGATAAGGAGAGTCAGTTAAATGAACTCATCGATCCATATCGAAAAAAGTTTCGGATAAATGAACATGAATGGTTTGTCCAAGCTGTTTGGTTTTCTTCCAATAACAACTTTGAATATAAATCTATCAATATATTTACATTACCTTTTAGTTTTTCTGAGTTTCCTGCTAAAGATATTTGTGTTTCAACAAAATCAGCTTATCCATATGAGAATTTTGAGCAATGTTTTCAATTGTTTCCGGTCTTGATCGACTTCAATCAATTGAGGTTAATATAAATAATAAAAAAAGTTTTGATAATATTCAATTACAATTACAACTTTTACTTGATTGATTACCTCAACTTTATTCATTACGCTTTTATTTATGGTCACGGTCTGATTGGGAATCACCGTTTATCGAATAACACAGTAGTTCAGTTCGCCGAATAGACTTACGGAAATTTAGATTTAATAATGCATATTATTCTTTAAATAGGAAAAGATTTATTCAATTAATTCGTTCATCTTTAATTACTCAATGCCAAACATTATTAATTAAAGTTAAAAATCAAAAAAACATTCTTGATCTTATCAATTCTATGCCAAACCTTAAATCATTAACTGTTGAGTGTTTGGATGATCGTCGGATAGATAGAAATCTTTTAGGATCACATTCAAACGATGAACTTGTCGATTGGTTACGTTAACAATTACCATCCACATGTATTATTATAAGGAATCTATACAGACCTATTTATATTCGAATATGGATTCGTTGAAACGCATTTGGAAATATATCTATTATTCGACTTATCTAAATGTGCTTCATGAATAAATTTATTCTTATAAATAAATAAATAAATAAATAAAACTAAAAAAAAAGGTTTTTCTCTTGTCTGAAAATAAAACTGGAGCAGCATTTATTTTTATTCAAAGAAAATAATGAAGATACTTCAGATATAAGTTCAGATAAAAGGAGGGTGGATGTGAGTGTAATTAAAAGAATACCCACACCCGCACCCTCAAGATAAAGTTGTCCAATCCTCATTCGAAGTCGAAATACGCAGCTAGTCTTATATATATATAGATCAATTTGTTTCCATTTGATTGAAACCCTTACAATAGATTCGTCGCCGTCAATCATCTTATTATTTTCTTCCACTGGAATAATCAAATGAATTAAAATAGAATCATCGCAATATATTCAAAATTATATTGAAAAGTCTGGCAATGCTTTTCATCTCATTATAATGATGGGAAAAAACTATACATAGAAAATAATGAGACGAACAACTAAAAGAAATATTTTTCTATTAATTTTACTTCTACTACGTTAGATAGTGCTTCACCAGTAAGGTAAGAATATGTAGGTTATATTTTTTTAAAACAATAAATTTAAACCATAGTTTTTTCGAACATTTCCGTTAAATGATTCATTTTTTTAAATGCTATTTTATAGAATATGATCGAAAATGAGTAATGAAGAATAGATTGAAAAAGTTGAATTCTCTAATTCATAGATTACGACAGATATTTCTAGATAGTCATCCATTGCTTCAGCTTACTGAATCTAAACAATGTCAAATACAAGCAGTAATTCGAATGTACTCACAACTGTAACTGTACCAACATATAGTGGAACAAGTGTAAATGAAATTCCTTTGATTAGGAGATTCTGGATGTATCTCATATCAAATTGTGCATCATTTATTTGCTCTGTTTTCGTGCTCTATTATTTACTATTTGATAAGAATCTCAGACGTGGACTTCATAACCATGCTCTCATAGTTGGTCTTATCATCAATCTTTTTGCGCTGGTATTAGATATTCCATTGGTTTTATATCGTCTATATTATGGAATTGTTTTGATACAAGTACCATTTATTTGTCAACTTTGGAAATATATTGATACTGTATCATATACAGTATTACCTAAATTAGTCGGATGGGCTTCACTTGAACGGCATATTATGATTTTTAATGAACGGCGATTTTTACGATCAAAGAATCGTATTTTATTTCATTACATACCTATAGGTGTAGTTGCTGGTTATCATATTCTTCTCTATATGATAATAGATTTCTTTGTACCATGTCAAAATACATTTGATTATACACAAAATTACTGTGCATATCAGAGTTGTGTATATCAAACTGCATATGCTATTTACGAGTTATCCACAAATGGAGTATTCTCATCTGTCTGTATTGCTTTCTTCAGTATCGCACTAATTGTTCGTGTTATCTATCGCAGATATCGTATACATCGACATGTAGACTGGCACAAGCATCGAAAACTAACGCTTCAACTTTTATTTATTGTATCAATATTTTATATCCTTTATTTTCCTTTGATTATATTAGGTATTTGGCGTTATATTATCGGTATAAAGAGCTTTGGTTCTCAATATTATGTATACGGAAGCTTTTTTTCTGATTATATAAATTTTCTCTTTCCTTTTGTATGTCTTGGTACAATTCCTAACCTTAAAACAAAAATCAGAAAGATATTATTATGTTAGAGAATAAAACTATCTGCTATTGCTCCACGTACAGTGAATAATCTGCAACAACCAACTGGCCAAACACCTATTACAGCAAATATTGCTTAATAATCATGCATAAAATATGACAAATCAAAAACAGTGTAAATGTTGTCAATCTCTTTTAACAAAATAAATTTTTGATGAAATAAAAATATTTACAAAAAAAGAAAAAGATTAAATCATTTCTTAGTAATTATATTCATCATACAAGTATGACTTGCCAGCATGTGGACTCAGGTTACTCAAGTGCATACTCATATTTCTTTCTGGCAGAGAAACCAATCATCTAAAATGAAATATATCAAGACTCAAATGATACTATGCATTGATTTTCTACAGAAGAAATATTTTAAAGGACGAGGGTATCGATTTCAGATTCACCGGCCTCACACCCTCACTCACCTTCAAGATTGAGTGACAAATGGAGAAAACTTAAAGGTTTATACACGCAAATCACGCCGATCTGTGAGGTAATACAAGTATCCGATAGCTATGCAACCAAGATGGCATTTCTATAAGCGTTGTCCGCGCAGATCAAGATGGCTGCAGGGTGAGTATGGCTGTCAACTGAGAGTATAGATAATCACACTCACATTCAGACCCGCGTTTTATGGTGTTTGATGTTCTTAACATGAGTTAAATAGTATGATAAATTGAATGATCGAGGATAAACTGATTTTATTCCGAAAAATCGTGAATACTTATACAGGGGATGAAAAAAGAAAAATAATCAGAAAGAAGTCGAGAAACTTCTTCTTCTTGGTTGTTAACAATGACTATAATGAGAAGAAAATAATTGTATCTTCTAGAATAAAAATATAGGTTAATAGAAGTAGGTCATAAAAGGAGAACAGCTGATAAAGAACATATATATATGAACATAGAGAAGAGAACAGAACAGAACAGAACAGAACAGAAAATGATAACATTAAACATATATGACGCGGACGATATGTAACAATATGTATGTAGATCATTGATGATATAGACCTGTTTTAACAATAAATCATTTTGTTCTTTATGTTTATAAAAATAACATATTATTACATAAAAAATCTTTTCTAATGAAATATAAAAATAATGCACAGCAAGATAAGAAAAATAATTTAAATTTAGTACTTAATTAGGTTTAAACGTTTGATTTTCAAAAAAAATTTCTAAAGTACGATTCTCAGAGAGTGACTGTTTAATTTCTTGTTGAAATAACTCTCGGTCAGAATCAGATGTACAATGATAAATTTCTAATACATGTAATGTTCGATTAACATAGGACATATCGAAGATTTGACGAAGATTAAGAAGTGAAATCTCAATTTCTTCCAAAGATAAATGAGATATTATCTTATTATTACGGAAAGCTTTAATTAATGTTGTCATATCAGTCTCTTCTAATCGTCCAGCAAATTGTAGATGAGTTACTGTTGAATTTGATTCTATACTTGAAGCAATGTGACTTATGTTTATATCAGGACTAACAGTAATTTGAAATTGTTTTAGGGTAAAATTGAGTGCCATTTCTTGTATATGTTCGTAAAGTGGATTTGAGGAAATGTGAGAGAAAGGTTCAACAGACATTGCTCTTTCATCTTCTCTCTCATCTTCTCTCTCATCTTCTCTCTCATTGGAAAGCTGTGGAGGATCACTATTTTCTTCCTGAGATGAACGATAATATTTAGGAAAAACACAAGTAAGAAACGATAGAGACTTTTTTAATTTTTTGCGTAAAGAAGGTTTCTTATCCTGTACACGAGGCAACTCAGATTCAAGTATAAAGGGCAACTCAGATTCAAGTGCACGGGGCAACTCAGATTCAAGTGCAC